TTTGTTTGTTTATAAATATCAATATGATTTCACTAATATGAGATATTATAATCGATATGATTTTATTATTATGGATACACACACACATGATACCAATGAGTCATAAATATGTATGATACCAATGTGTCAAAATATTTGTTGATATTAATGTATCATTAGTTCAGATGATGTCTAGGAGTCATTAAGAATACCAACACAAATGTATCACATTTCTCAATGATGTTTACATGTCATAATTTTGTGACACAAAAGTGATTTGTTAACGGTGACACTAAATTTTGTGTCACTCGCCCCGCTTTTCTGTGACACATTCAGTGTGTCATTAAATCGTTTAGTGACACTAATTTAATGTCACTATAAGCCATTTTTTTACTAGTGGATAACAAGTAATGGGAAAACTAGCATAACAATAAAAGGACATGATCCAGATAGGGTATGTGTCAGTAAATGCTTTAGAGACAACAAGTTTAGTTTTATTATATGATCCAAAATTGGAATACAAACAAGTAAATATATATAAAATCATTCCAAATGACATGTTTTTGGAATAGGATTGTGACAAGTCTTCTTATAATGACCAAGTATGTTGCACCGAGAACATTTTTTCCGTTTCCTCCCACGATGCTCACCAATAGAAGGTATTCTTGATTTCTTGGGACGACCGGGTGGTCTTTTCAAACAGGCTAGAGGCTAACATCGAACACTGGATAATAACATGATTCACGAGGGCAGAGACCGATAGCAGCAACCGCATGAACGCAGATAAAATGATTGAGTTGAAACACTTCACATGTGCATGTTCGAGTTTGAAGATCCCCTACAAAGGAGCGGCAATGCCTATCAATGATGTGAGTTTTCTCGCACTTAACATAGATCGTAATATAGTGGTGTAAGTACGAGTATCGTCTCCACAGGGACGGACAAAAGGGAATCAAGAATTAATTAAATTCAGCGATTAAAAAGAAAATAAAATAAAAGCGTCGTGCGAGATTGGTTGGTTTGAAAAAAAAACTAATGCGAACAATTAAACTAGGGGGTTCTTTCTAATTAATGACGAAGGGAACCGGGATTGATTTCGGGGTAACCGGATTTCTGGCAGATCAGGCCTAATTACATGAAATTAATTTAATTGAGCCTAGCTAATCATTACTAAGTTCTTACCGCTCTCGCGGCGTAGAGTACAATACTTTAGGGGACCAGGCTGATCTCTCATGCGACAGGATCCTAAATTATTGCCAAGACGAGTGAGCTTACGGCCCCTTAATCGCTACTAATCTCTTAGCGAACGATTAAGTGTGTGTGAATGTGTCCTAGAACAAATTAGATCTCTCTTAATTTATTCTACATGCAATTGTAATTCTAGTCGCGATTCTAGGTTACAAAAGATATCAATTAATTTATTCAAACACAAATTAAACGGCATTCACGCAATTAAATCGACAAGAATCTAGCCATACATCATGATTAACCCCTTCATCAATCCCAAATCCCTAATTAAAACTACTCACAATTCATAATTGAAGAATCAATAGAATTGAAATAAAAAGAATTAATTGTCATTAATTAAAAAGGTGGAACTTACAAAGAATCCCAAAAGATTGATGAACAAGGCTGAAAAGTCCTCTAAAATTCGTGCTAGGCACTCTCTCTAAGCTCCCCCCTCAAAACGGGGGTTTACAGGCTGTTTAAATAGAAAAATCGGGTGAAATTTGAGCTGAATTAGGATTTTCGGAGCCAGGGACGATGCCAGGCACGATCGTGCCTTCGATCGTGCCTCCGGAGCAAAAATGCGCATTTTGGGCAGGCACGATCGTGCCTCCCTCCAGGCACGATCGTGCCTGGATGGCAGTAACTCCGCGGTGCTTTTCTCTTCAGGCACGATCGTGTCTGACTTTGTGGGCACGATAGTGCCTACTTAACTTCCGAATTTGACAAAACTTCCTTCATGAAAGTTTTAGATAATGAAGTCCTCTATCCACCCCAATTTGCCGAATGGGATTTCAATCATCCAATCAAGAGATATGATCAAAACGGTGGAAGGTGTCTTTCTGAAATCGCAGCAGAGATCATCTGACTTCATCGTCTGTTTTCACCTTCTTCCTCTCAGATTCTCGCAAAGGTGTCTTCATATGATTTGTATCCCTTGAAGTTAGCTTTCCTATGGAACTTGAATCGTGTACATTGGATGTTTCTACAAAGAGATATGATTGAACGATTGACAGAAGGTCATCCTGATCGTCGTTTTCAAGCTTCATTCATCTTCTTTTGACCCCGTAGCCAATCCTAGAGCTCTTTTGTCATCAAATCTTCATCGTGAATCTTCCGGTGACCTCCAAAGCTATCAAATCATTCTCAAATGCTTCTAAAATCATCCCGATTGTTCCTCAAGTGCCGGTGCCCGGGCTCAAATTCCTTGATTTTGACTACAAACAACACAAAACTCGAACCAACGCCCGGTAAACATAACTTGAGCTAAAATTGAGACTTGTAACACCTTAAAACTAGGAAAATCATCAAAAGCCGATCTCAACAGGCATCAAATACGTGTCAAAATACGGACTTATCAATCAACAACTTCAAACTCAAAATATGATGTGGGCTTCACCTACAATATGATTACTGAGTGTAAATAAAATGCAAATGTGAAGTGAATTTGTAATGAAAGGAATGCTGGTAGGTATGCAATTGAGATATCAAATATGTGGCATAAATGCCAAGTATTTGGAAGTTTTCGTTGGTAATACATGTATGGAGAATGCACTGCAACACATGTTCAGATCACAAATATTTAATGACTGACCTTCAACTTTGCTGATTGGCTTTGAATATCAACCAGATGCTTCCCCCGTTTGTTTGTCAAAATAGTTTGATTATTTTCAGCGCTTTCCTTTCTTTCAACAAACCACTTTTTCATCATTTCCCTAATAAAGTCAATAACCTTGGCAATACAATACTCCCTAGTAGAATTGAAGCATTGATGTTGTTCATTGATTCGGCGCAATTTGAAGTCATAATCACATCATAACGGCTTGGACCAGACATACACTTTGCCCATTTGTGAATACCAATTTTTTCAAGCCAAGGGCATATACGAACATCTTGAGAATCCAACAAGGCCATATATTTCTCAAATTCCTTGATTGTTGCAGCCTTATATGTAGCCTTGAATTTCCAACCTAAATCAGTGGCATTTCCCCTAAATTTGGGGACAATATTACGACGCAAGTGCTCAACACAATAGCCATGCCTAGCATGAGGGAAGATCCGTTTAGCAGCACTAATTATACCTTTATGCATGCCAGGTATAATGTACATATCCTCACGAAATGTTAGAGATTCGGACAATTTAGAAAAAAACCAAAGCCAAGACTTTTTAGACTCAGTATCACAAATTCCAAAGGCTAACGGAACAATTTGGTTGTTGGCATCTTGGGCACAAGCTGTGAGAAGTGTTCCTTTGTAGTACGCCTTCAAAAAGGATCCATCTACAATTAGAATAGGTCTACAAAAATTCCATGCCTCCATCCAAGGTGCAAAAGACATGAAAAATACTGGAAGACATCATTCATCATCTCTAATAAGAGAAAAAACAGAATGTGGATTTGCTTTGTCAAGCATATAGGCCATCGAGGGTAAAAGTTGATATGACTCGGCATCTGATCCAAATTGTTTTTGCATTGCAGTCTTTTGAGCTTTCCAAGACTTCTTGTACGACATGGAGATGTCATGCATGAGACTCATGTCAGCACATATCTCATTTGGCACATACGGCTTTCTAGAAGCATCCAAGAACTTATTCAGTTAAAACTAGTTATTATGCTGATCTCTTTTCTTTTCCTTATTTCCGTGAGGATGTGGAGGCAAGAGGTTGCGGCGGCTCTTGTCAAGTGAAGTGCTGAAATGAAATGAAGGGTGTGGGGGCTCCTTAGGCTTCTTTTAATTAGGGCGGAAGTGGAGTGTTGAAATTACGGCTGAATGCAACTTTGAATTAATTGAGGTCATATTTAGGGAAAGAAAAAATAAAGTCATATTTTGGAAAATGCAAATTCACTAGTAATATTAATACCATTTTTTCTAAATAGTAATACAATTTTTGGAATGTCTTTATTTGATATTTTCTTTATTAATTATTTACTACAGTTAACTATTTAAAGGAGTAATTGTAATTGGTTAAAAAGAACAATTTTGTACCTGTAATTTGATAAGTTAAATTTAGTGCTTTAAAATTGGTGGTTCAATGTTAATTAATTTTAAGCACCAACCGTTCAAAGAGGTGGAGAGGTGTTCAGAGCTAGAATATATTTATATAGCACATGAGTGTGCTCATTATGTAGCACACTAGAGTAAATAGACTCTAGTAAATAAGAGTCTATTCATAACAACGCAAATTCATTGTAGCGGCACTGCAACATTCACGTATTTCAAAATTTGAAAACTACCAAAACTAAATTCTCTAATTCATTAAGAAAAACAGACACATTATCTCATTTTTCGGTTTTGCATACGATTTGGTAAATACATTTTTTGTTTTCCTTTCTCCAGTTTTCAACAAACTTTTTCGGTAAACATGTTTTCTGTTTCCCTTATCGGGTTTTCCCGTTTCTAGAAAACTGGGCAATATCTCACTTAATAAATAGACTCTTATTGGTTTTATAAATACTACGCTGGGAACAATCGGGACCAGCCGGTTTCGGTCCGAACTTTCCTATACCCAGGACCAAGTATCCTACTTGGGTTGTACTAGTTCAGTTCCACTCCGGACTAATGTTTTCAGAGTTGAAAATGGAAAACAAGAAAATCAAAACAGAAAATTGGAAATAGAAAAAAAAAACTAGAAACTGAATAAGAAAATTAGAGAATGGAAAATGGAAAAGAAAACAGATAAATATTTCTAGGTGACAACTCCGGTACCTTTTTAAAATATGGGGTACCGTACCTATCATTCATTTGATTGGACCACATCACTATATCATTTTTAATTTAGATTTAAATAATTCAACTGCTACATTCTCATTGGTCAATGTGGACAAAGGTATGGTGCCTTATGGAAACCATAGAATCTACCATATTTCTATATTTCTATTAGTAAACTGGGGTTTACTAAGTTAGGAAATACATGCTTCAAACTATTGATGCATAATGAGTTCAAGTTAGGAAATACTCCCTCCGTTCCCAAAAATACTTCCCACTTTCCTTTTTGGGTCGTTCCCAAAAATTATTCCCACTTTCCCTTTTTGGACAATTTGTGTGGCTCACATTCATTTTACCTTTTTTTCACACAACCACAACCACACATTTCCACTTTATTCCACTTTCTTAATAGGCAACCGGGAAGAATTTTTAGGAACGGAGGGAGTACTATCTCTACCAGAACTGGGGTTTCATCAAGTTTTTAGTCTGTTTACAAATATGATAGGAAATCTGTGTTATATACGGAGTAATATATTTAGGGAAAAGGTGCAAATAGGCCCATGTACTAACCAAAAAAGGTCAAATAAGCCCTTATTTAGGAGTCTTTGTCCGGCCGTCGCCATTTGGAGTGGTTCCCGGTAGAATTTTTTGATAAAATTTTTTGAGCGTCTTATTCATTAAGTCTAGTTTACTCATACCAAATTTCAGCAAAAACTTCAATCGGGAAGGCATTGAAATGAATTCCTGAAAATAACTGCGCAGTTAGAAGCGCAGTTATCTTCAAAAATTTATTTGAATGCCTTCTCGATTGAAGTTTTAGCTGAAATTTGGTATGAGCAAACTAGACTTGATGAATAAGATGCTCAAAAAATTTCATTAAAAAATTCCACCGGGAACCACCCCAAATGACGACGTCCGGACAGAACTTCCTAAATAAGGGCTTATTTGACCTTTTTGGGTTAGTACATGGGCCTATTTGCACCTTTTCCCATATATTTAAGAAATTTTCCGATATAATCACATAAATATACTTTCCTGCCTAAACTTGATATCATTTGATACAACATTTTGAATGTACAAGCAGGCACAAAAAGCTTGGGCAGCAGACAGCCAGACACCGGTGTTCTAATAGTTGATCCTAAAAGTAGTGATGTTAATCATACAAATGATGATTATGGACAAAATTTGGGAAAAATAAATTGATAGAGAAGAAGCCGTAGGAGAACCGTTCTGGAACTGTAACGAGTCGACGGCCAACGGCATATTCTCCTGGTCGGGGCTGCACTTTGACTCCGTCAACGGCTGCCCACTGTACATCAACGCCCGCAACACCGCCGAAACCGTCGGAATGTACGCCGTCTTGTTTCGCGCCAGCAACCACGTCAACCCCATCAGCTGGCAGTCCTGATTTAACATCTTGGACAAACGGCCGTTTTCTCCGTTTCGAGCTTTTTGTGTCCCGTTTTTACCCCCTCCTTTAAGCTGCATATGTGAAGAAGAGTGATCAATAACAGGATGATTTCGGAAATTTGCATAAAAAAGTTGACTCAAATTACGATATTGACCTTCTGGAGAGCTCCGAGACACTGTGTACAACCGGAATACGAGGAGGCGCGGCATTTGTGTTCGAGATCCCTAACCGCGGCGGTGGGTTTGACTTCGCCGGCGGCGGAGATGTTGAACGCGGCGGGGCACTCGAGGGAGCTGATCTGGTGGAGGCGGATGCCGCAGAAACACAAAACGGTGTCGCACGTTTCGTTAATCCGGCCAACATAAACGCTGCGGCGCTGGAGCGAGTCCTGGAGCGAGTCGGCGCACTTCTGGTTGTCGAGCGGCTCCGACGGCTGGATACTCGATATCGCAGACGGCGCCGGCGCGGGGATGACCCGGAGCGCCGAGTGCGCGTAAGCCGCGTAGAACCACGCTGACAATACCGGGCAGCACCGTCTCCGGTCGAGATCCTCCCGGCAGGCGGCTTTCACGCCGCTGAAAAGCTCCTCCGACAAGTCAAGCTTACACAGCTGCGATTGCGATTGAACCGGAGACGCCGGAACAGTGTTTGAATCGGCAAACGAGCCAAGGCAAAAGCAGAGCATGACAGCGATTGAGAGGAAGAGTTTGCCCTCCATCTTCGTTGACTTTCTAGAGATTTTTACACTCTTTTTGTTTACAGAAAATCGTATTACAAGTTCAAAGATATAATCATCAAGAAGTGGGTAGAAGATGATGAGAATAAGAAAAACAGGGAGTGTCAGAGAGAGGAGGAAGCAACAACGATAATAATCAAAAAGATGAAAGAAAGTGCCTGGATCTGGGGGTGGATGAGTGGAATATGTATTCATCCAAGAACAAAAGAACAGCCATGTCAAATCTATCTCATGGGTGAGATCATCCAATATTTTAGACACTGACCCGCTGGAATGTCCGCTTCTGGGTAAAGTTTTGTAGCTTTTCAAACGAGCAAATAGCTCTCATTCACGGACTATTCCAATCTTAAATGTACTCATTTGAATTATGTTATTCCAAAAAAAAAAAAAGATGACACCCGTCTTGAGGGCCCCCAACACCGACCAGACAACATGATGAGAGGATATAAATTAGACTATAATCACAATCTGACATATAGAGAGTGGGGCTCCGTCCCCAATACTTGCAGAGACCCTCTATTGAGTAACCTCTCATCGCAGTTGCAGGGAGTCGAACCCGGGACCTAACTCTTGTAGCACTCCCTCGCTACCAGTTGAGCTACGCCCACCGGTTGAATTGTGTTATTCCAATCCAATCCAAACAACTTTTTCATTAAATATGTGGATTTTGATTTTGAGCACTTAATTGTCTAAAATTACAAAAAGTAAGATTAGAGTTACTTTTTTACTAGATTTACTAAAGTTACTCTAGGAAATCATTTTAGTTATTTTTCCATATAATCTTTTCTTTTATTTACTAATAAAATATATTTTAAATATTTTTTTATAAATCATCCGATTCATCCACTTAAGCTAAAACATCATAAAGTTCGATAGAATCAGCATACACAACCGATTTGAGTATTATCAAACGGGCTTTTAATTTTTTTTGCTTATAACGAAATTGTCTCATAAGCAAAAAACGAAATTGTCTTTTGGAAAAAAAAAATACGAAATTGTCTTTCTTTGATTTCGAGAAATGCTTTGCAATTAAGATGATAGGTTCTTTAAGGTACTGTTTTTTGAGGTATTGTTCTAGAATACTACTGAAATAAAATTAATGAGTAAAAATATAATTCAAGTTATTATTATTATAAAGTCATTGTTATTATTATAGGAATTATTCTGTGTAGGACTAAAAATAAATTTAAATGCACAAATAGAATTACATTTTTTATTTCATACTATCCTCCGTTTTTATTTAGATGCAACATAGAGAGTGGGCACACTAATTAAGAAATTTGTGACTTTCCTATTTTCTCCCTGTGAGTTGGATAAAGCAGAGATAACGGAGTAATAATACAAGTACAAGCAGGAATCTTAATGCCTAATTTTTCACGCGTTGAGAGCTGCTCTCCCTTCAACCTACTAGGTTCTCATGAATCATTTCCGCTGCCGAAGCATTCCTTAACCTAGTTCCGTCCTCAGATTTCAAAGTGGAAGGATGTTAGAGCCCAGAAACTCCAAAAACGAGTTTAGGAGTTGCGAAGTTTACTGTTCATGGACGATTTCCGATTATTGATTTGAACCGGATGATTGTTTCTAGATGACTGGATTTCAAGAGTGGTTTGGGATGCACCATCTTCAGTCGCATCTACCCAACTGTCCGCTGGAAGACGTGCTCACCGGGAAGCCTGAAACCACTGTTATCGATTGGGAGGTTTTACTGTTCACCATCGGTTTGCAGATTTAATTTTCTTCATCTCCATAGGTGAAGAACGTGGTAAGAAGAAGATAAAATAGGTGGTGAGATGGGAAGACAGCTGATGTCCGTGAAGATTAGGAAAGAGAAATGTAAAGTGGGATTGGGTAGATTAAAAATGGCAGGTTCGAATTAGGTAGGAGAAACAAATAGGAGAAACGATGAGTTTTAAGTAGGGATATTAAAGTCATTTGTAGGTATTCCTTTTTACCTAAAAGAGTAATGTTGCATTTATTTTGAAACTTCCCAAAAAGGAAAGTGTTGCAACTAAAAAAGAACGGAGGGAGTAGATAGGATTTGGGATTACGATTATACACTCATACGGATTATTTGATAACATTAAAACCCTTATTTTCTAATTCATCTCTTCACGCTTGCACCTCATACTTGCGGCTCTCCTTTTGTTCATCTCTCCTCTGTGGTTTTCTCTGTCGACGACAAGGGCTGCCAATGTCATACGTAGTAACATAAAATTATTGAACTAGTGTCAACATGAAGTTCCTACATCGCTCGCACACGAAGTTGTGTGCGTGCTTATAAGCACAGCCTGAAGCCTTCATTTGTAGACGCATTTTAAAGTCATGAAGTATCAAAGTGGATAATATCCACAAACTATTTATAACATGTTATCAACACGATTCTCGCGATGGAAGGGTATGTTATGAACTTGAAGTTCCAACATTGCTCGCACATGAAGTTGTGTGCGTGCTTATAAGCAGGGTCTAAAGCATTTACTTGTATACGCGTTTTAAAACTGTGAGGTCCTAAAATATCAAAGCGGACAATATCCACAATCTATTCTTAGAACTATTTAATACAAAGTAATACTACGTATGTGTTTATTTGAGGTCCACTAATTGTTATGGATACTTAAATTAATTATAATTTGTATTATTATACTCTTTTTTTAATTACCTCTTAACCTTTTATTATATCTTTTAATGATAATGCTAATATTCTTGATTGATATGAGATTTGAACCTTTTATTTCTTCTTTGGGTGATGAAAAGTAATGTGATCACTACTTGATTGTATTATTATACGGAGTACTTGTTTACTTAAACAATAAAACACGTCCTAGTGTAAAGTTCAGGTAGTAACTAGTAAGTCTAGTCATCCAATCAAAGTATGGAATAAACAGCTGTATGGGACCTGTTTGGTAAGAGTTACGAAGAGTTTGATTTGTGGATGAGTCCACGATTTTCCTAAATAAAACAACATTTTGTATAATCGCTATTCAACATTAGGTTAAACTAAATAAACAGTTACGCATATTTTAAGTATTTTTATTATTTATTCTACTGACAAGTATTTAAATCATTTCAAGCATTAGCAAAAAGAAACTTTAGGACTTTCATACGTAGTACTCGGTATATGGTAAGTGAAGTCAACACGAAAGGATTTGATTAGTTTTAGCCTGAAGTAAATGGCGGAAAGATAAACGGAAAGACCGTCCGGCAATTGTACAAGAAATGAGGATTTCTTCGCGCAATTATTCAGCGCATCGGTAAACTTTGACAAACTAGAGATGACTTTGCAAAGTACTCCGTAGATCATTTTCAATACACTAAAACTCAAAAGGTGTTAAAATTGACGAAATGTGCGTAAAAGTGATTAATTTTGGAGGAGAATCGTTTCCCTAACGTTACATCAAAATGCAAAAAGCACAAAATGTCAATCAAACGAAGAGCCAAAGTGAATAATTTAACTATCCATGTAATTACAGATCGAGAGAAAAATGCTTCACGAATACTCCATTACTCCGTATATAACAAGCGAAAAAAAAGATGGACTCGAATCGAGAAATGAGATACTAATTTCAACCGATTGAACTGTATACAATTTCACTTAAACTATACCGAGTATATGAGAAGTTACCATTCAAGTTAACATTATAACATTTCTTACATTCCTAATTAGTAAGAATTGATTTGTAACTAACGAAATACCAAATACCTGACAAGGGAGATAACAAAAAGAGCAATAGTTTGACCGGCTACCTGTCATACTTGAGCAGTGTCCAAAACAATGTCATACTTTTGCCTCCATTTCTTTTCAACCACACATTCACACTTGGTGTAACACGCCCGTTTTTTTCATTTTGGGCCAACAATTAATTTTCGCACCGATACTTGTTGGGCAAACAAAAAAAGTTATAGATAGATAATTGAATCGGTATGTAAAATGATACTTCCTCTAGTCCTTATTATTAAAGTTCTCACTTTCTTTTTCGGGATGTCTCTTATTTAAGTTCATACTTCCATTTTAGGAAACAAAACAGTGCAAAATAGTGTCAAACAATGTCCAAATAATGCACTCCACAGTAAAGTCAAATTTATTTTCTTAATCTGTGTGAACTCAAACTGGGAACTTTAATAAAGACCGGAGGGAGTATGTACAAATAACATTTTTAAATTTCTTTTTCATTCTATCTACCTTACAAATCACTAATCAAACCTTACCTTTTACCTACTCTATCTTGCTCTCACCCCCCCCCCCCCTCTCTTTCTGTCTCTCTCTTCTAATGAATATGAATTTTGTCTGCGGAATTATGTAACAACTAGGTTTCAAGCCTGTGCGATGCACGGACAGTACATAATTTAGCTAATTTTAAATATGATTTTTCAGAATCAACTTATTTTACTGAAATATACTCAGTCTACATATAGAGTTTATTTGATAATAGTAAAATTGGCGGAATCAGCTTATTAGACTGAAATTGATTAAATTGTGGTTGAATGGGCTGAATAGGCAGAATCTCTCGAATAATGAAAAAATTAAAATACATTCTACTTGTAAAGTAGAGAAACAATTACATGAAAACATTTAAAATGTTCTTTTACATAAGCATCTCAACTAAATATAATTGTGGTTAACCCGCTTTTAAAGAATTCACAGAGAATTCATATCCTCTAAATTACTTTATTATGCACCTCAATTTTTTTTTCATATTCCTCATTGAACTTGGTATGAACTATGTAGTACAAATTTTTAATAGTAAGATCTTACATTTGACTCATTATTTCGTCACGTTGAAAATATAAAAAAATGAGTTTTTTTTTGCATTTTATTCATTATTTCGTCACATTGAAAACGATCTTTAATTGTTATGAACGTCTAGATTACTTTTCTAAGCATTTCAAAATAATATTTTTCTAATATTTCTCATTCAACTTGGTATGAAATACATATTTTTAAATTTGAATAGTGAGGTCTTACATTTTACTCATTATTCTGTCACATTGAAAACGTCATTAATAAGGACGTTTATAATTGAATTAAAACTTTCGGGGTTGATTTGGTCTGAAGTAATATGATTTGGTAGATGTCTGTTTTACATTTTATGTGTCCTATCATTATTAAATTTTGATCTGATCTGATCTAGTCTGAAAATGAAATCAATCTAATTAAAAACATCCTAAGAGTATAAATACAATTAAGAATTTTTAAACATACAAAGATTTCCTAATTTGGATTATGAATTTATTTCAAAAGTGATAGCATATTAAAATTGTATTAAAAACATCCTAAGAGTATAAATACAATTAAGAATTTTTAAACATACAAAGATTTCCTAATTTGGATTATGAATTTATTTCAAAAGTGATAGCATATTAAAATTGTAGTTGTAAAAATAAAGAAATGAAACAATCAAACATATTTACTTTTTGGCTAGGCTAAACGTATTTACTTGTGAACACAAACACATATGCATGTATGATATCAACTTTCATCCTTATTAAATAAAGATAAGCTACTCGATTAGAAGTATTCTCTTTATATGATTCTATATTTGAATGTCTAATAGTATTAATTTCGTTTTTCATTTCAAAAATCTGGTGGTTACAATTTTCGTCACCGTGTTAATAATTAAGAAAGAATTATATGGAGATGTAGAAAAATATGAAGTATTAACACAGTTGCAAATCTGGGGCTTAAAATTTTAATCATGACCTCAACATTGAGTTTAGAAGAATAAAATATTACATTTTAGGAAATAGGACACTATTAATACATTTTTTATATAAATAGTTTTGAAGATAAAATAAATGGCAATTTGGCTAATTTATCTGTTTTTTTAAGGAACTGATTTATCTGTTAAGTGGACAAAACAAAGATACTTCATTTCTTCAATAAAATGTAATACTAGTAAAAAAATAAGAAGTATAAAAAAAATCAAAAAAAAAATCTACGTGCTTATAAAAGTACTCCATATAAAATGTAGTCTACGGTTGGTTATTAATTATTGTGATTCCAATTAATGAATTTCATAATTATTGAATACGTAATAGGTTTTGAAAAAGTTACCAAAGAAGGTAGATTTTATCATAAAGTCTTTTGTTTCCATATCAATATGCAATCAAAAACAGAATCTAATAAAATAAATAAAAGGTACGGAATATTAAAACCCAAATACTATGTAATTGTTATAAATGATGGATGACATGGCAGGATTACGTGGCTCTTTGTATGCTCTTAAAAAGTTCCTCTTATATATATATATATATATATATATATATATATATATATATATATATATATATATATATATATATATATTGATTAAAATTATTAAGATTCAAATTACTTTTCTGATTGAATTGACTAGATTTAGTGATAGAATACATGAGCCCAGTCATGACACACATACTCTACCATACACAAGGGCCCAGATCTAGTACCCTACCACACTCCTCATCTAGCCCCCCTTGGCCAAATAACACCTAGTCAGGCATGTCACAGGCCGAGGGACTCGCGCTAGTCGTACAAACCAGGGTCGAGGTGAATGTGATGGACATATCCCCCTAGGGTTTCCCAATTGACTTTGGCACCTTGGAATACAAATTTTGCTTAGATTTTGGGGGTGAAAACCTCACATTTAATTACTCCCTCCGTCCCTGAATGTTCTTCCGATTGCGGATTACGAAGGTTGACCGACGATAAAGTTAAATGATCCCTGTGAAAACTCGGATTATTTTTAGTAAATAAAATTTACATATTCAGAAACTACATTAAACCCGCTACAAAGCCTGCACAAAAAAAATCAATTTTCATAAAGTTTTGATACAAAAAGTAAGAGTTTAAGAGTGATTTAAGTTGACTCTCGAAAAGCGAAATGGAAGTAAATTTAGGGACAGAGGGAGTAGGATTTTCACACCTCCCATCTATGTGTGAGGCTCATATTTTTGGGAGCTTGTAACCTTTTTTTCCTTGCATGTTTTATTCAAATTTTATATTGTTCTTTTTTAACAATTTAGGTGTCCTGTTGACCGAGACCGACTCCACTTTTCTGAAATCTATCAACTACCCTCCAAAGTATCTAAGAAGTTAAATAAAAAATTACCTAAAAGGTTAAATCGGAAATTGAGCACAGTCAGCTTTCGTTGATCAAGCTCAAAAAGAGAAATTCAGCATCACGTATACGATTATACCGCCTGTAATCAAGTTTCTCCTCCTACCACACGGCCATGCTATATAGTATCTCCATTACCATATTTTCTCTCCTCATTCGCTGAGATGCTCCGTGAAAATAGGGAACAAACTGTTAGCAAAATCTCACTCCTTTTCTTTGGTTGGAATTGAACCCAAGACCTCCACTAAAGGGGAGAGTGGAGTGGATCCCCGGACCTCCACTAAAGTGGAGAGTGGAGTGGATCCCCAACAAGTGAGTCACACCACCTTACCCCTTATGTTTTACGAGCATGTGCTAAAAGTAGGTCAAAAGTTATCGAAAAATATTATTTGAACATAAGAGTCCACCTTAATATTTTATCTGGCCACGGGACTGGAACAAAAGCTTACTCCCGTGCCCATAGAAAGACTCTCTCAAATATTGTATATGAACATTTCATTGTTCTATTTATAACCTTCATAGTTTATCACATTGTCTTACTTGATTATTTTGTGAGGTGTCCTCATTCATTTATGACATATCGTTCACAATAACTTTCAAAAAAATATTAGTCAAAATAACATTTCATAGTTCTATATATGCAGTATTTAATTTTGACTATCATTATGACTAACATTGTGAAATTTTTATGTCACTGTAAGCCATCTTTTTGACTTTCTATTTTTATTATAAGATGCCAGTGTCAATGTGTCAGTATTCCCGTGGAGGGGTAAGTGGGTAATAGACCGGCTGTGATCGTTAAAGACTTGGCTATATGGTTAGGGGTGGAATCAGGGGGCAAGGTGGTCAGCTGACCTCCTAAACAATTGAGAACGTAGAGCATTGAGATACATTCGATTTGATATATTATAACTAGGGAAAAGTACAGAAAATGTACATATGGTTTGAGTCGTTTACAGATAGGGTCACATGTTTTATTTTTTAATAAAGTGGGACATGTGTTTCAATTCCATTATCACAGCTGGGGCATGACGTCTAACACCGTTAAAAAATTAACCCCGATTTAGAAAAGTCTCCAAAAAATTAAAAGAAAAATACTGGGAGGTGCGCCTCATCAAGGAGACCAACAAACTGTCGTTCTCTTTGGATGTGTATAAAACATCATTTGAACTTAAAATGAGTAAAATTTAATGTGTATTATTAATTCCAAACCCAATCCGAAAGCCCACCATCAGTAGGACCGAGCAACCCACCTGTAAAATTATTTTTATTTTTCCGTTGTTTTCCTTTCACTCTCTTGTATCACCTTATTCTAACTTTTATTAATAAATCTAGGTAAATGCACCTGTCATTTACCGCACCCTTTTGGGTGTCCTTTCGGGCAAAAAAAACGTGTATTATTAATTATAAACTCAAATGTTAAAAAATGTTGAATTCACTCATTAGTTAGGCAGAATTTACAACAAATGGCATATTTATCAAATCAACAGCTCTATAACTCTCATTTAAGCTGTCATTTGTCTCAATTACATGTGAAATATTCAACTGAAATGATATTTAAAAATAATCCACTCTTTTGATGCCGAATATAGTTAAGTTTTGACCTTCGAGATGTTTTTCTGACTTTTTCACTGTATATGGTGTTATACCTGGCTTGAGGTTAGCTTAAAATAATTAATAGTCTTACTCATATCAACAATGTGCATCTCATTTTATCAACAATGTGCATCTCATTTTAAGGCGCTAATCTCCTATGACATCTATGTTAAGCGTGTGTGCATGGGAGTAGTCTTGGGATGGGTGACCCCCGAAAAGTTTCTCGAGGCGCGTATGAGTGTGGACAAAGTGCACGGTGACAGGATTGTGTTGTTTTGTGAAAACAATGTTAGGTCAGGAGAGCATTCAAGAGTAATGACCTCAGACTGTGCAGGGTCGGGTGCTATAAGTTGTATTAGAGCAACCCCGCGACAATGTGTTGATATGGTGGATATCATATGGAACTTAGTAAGGGAGGATTCTAGGGCTTAATTGAAATCGGTTTGAGCGTGACGAAGAAGTTGAATTCCTAAGTGGGGGTGACTGTAATACTTGAGATTAGCTTAAGAGAATTAATAGTTGTACTCATATCAACAAGGTGCATCTCTTTTTCAGGAATTCATCTCTTAAGAACTCCAAATTAAGCGTGACTGTACGAGAGTAGTCTTGGGATGAGTGACTCACTCAAAACTTTCTCACAAGTTACATTAGTAAAAGTGTGAATTTTGTTAAAATTTAATTCGCGATGAATAGTTCATATGTAGTTGAGATAAATGACGACTTAAATGAGATTTGTAGAGTTATTGATTAACTTGATTCGATGCATATGCTGTTATACATGTTCGGGAATATGAAACCTCCATTGACGGCGACAAACCGAACGCAAATCCTCTACTGTAACGAAGGCGGAACCTCCATTTCATCTGGCGAAAACCGAAGACAACCCCTTTGCTACAATAAAGATGGAGCTTGCATTGACAGCGACAACCGAAGACAAATCGTCTGCTTTAGCAAAGATGGAGCCTCCATTTATGGCGACTGATAATTCAACGGCAGAGTCTTCTTCGTCATCGTCTGCTTCTTCTTCTTTCTTTTTCATCAACGCTAGTAATCCTTCAATTTTTGGGGTTCAACATCCGACGACATTGTAAAACCATGGAGAGGTTCAAGATGTGTGACGGCTAGGCCGGGTTCAAATTTTGGGTTTTGTTCTTCTCAAATCCTTTGTGTGGGGAGATGTTGGGAAATGGGCCAAGTAAGGGGCTGGGTTTGGGGTGGTGGCTGAGGTTATGGAGGAGTCGATGACGGTTGTCATCAGAAGGTGAAGGAGCTGGTGTGTAAAATGTCATTGGTCAAGTAGTCATTGTGATTGTTCCCGTGCATTGAGGTCATTGTGGTGACATGTCACTCTGGGCGGTGATCACTAGCCGGTGGTGGTCACTGTGGCGGTGGTCGCTAGCCGGTGGTGGTCACTATGGTGATGGTCACTAGATGAAAGTCGCTGCGAAAAATTGGTCACTGTGGCAGTTGGTCGTTGTGTAGGAATCACTGTGGATGTTTTTACTTGGACTAAAATTTGTTGGTCTGGTCTGTTTAAGTCTAGTCTCGTCCGGTCTGATGTGAAGTGATATGTTTTGTTTTTGTAAATATTTGATCTTTATGCATTTTATAACTATGAAAGTCTGGTGTGGTCTGATTAATATGTTTAAGTCTGATATGATCTGATCTTGAACAGAAAACATACCAACTTAAAATACCCCGTGTCTTACGGGAAATTTATAAGATGTTTTATCCTTGGTCACATTTTTGGGATTTAAAAAAAGAAATAATGACTGGGATATTACTTCTAGAGTTTTAATTAACAATTCTATGACTAGTTTTTAAATTTGACAGAAAAGTAACTAAATAATACACCGCCGCCTAACTGATACACCGTATATGCCTTATCAGTCGCCTCAGTTTTCCAGTTATCCTGCATCGCTAATCCTTGTCCATCTTCTCCGATCCTCTCTGCCATATGCCCATAAGCCTCCCAGAGTCCCATTGCACCGCCACCTAGCTTCATTGTCAGAAATCTAGCACCGTCGCCAGTTACCGCAGCGAAGCTCCACCTAGCTTCGTCGATTTACTCAGCCCCTTTCCGTGTATAGACGGCCGAAGTCGCAATTGCTGCTTCGCCCGCCCGCTCACCGCCAGTACGCCACCATAACTCTACTCTTCTTCTATCTCTTCTCCCTCCTTTTCTATTTGAGAGCCGCCCCTATGGCAACTGACAGTCAGCCAAGGTTCATATCGACGGAGAGCAGTCGATCTGATGGGGTAGGGGGTCTGGGGATGGGCAGGAGGTAGGGGGGTCTGGGGATGGGCAGGGGGCAGGGGAGGGGGTCTGGGGATGGGCAGGGAGTAGGGGTTCCGGGACCGGGGATGGAGCAAGAGAGGGTTTTTGGGGCTGGGGAGGGCACATGTGTGGTCGGCTGTGGTAAATGGACGAGGCCGTGTTCACTGCCGGCAGGCAGCGATAGTAGTCACTGAAATTGAACGGTAATCACTGAACGGCTAGCGGCTAACGGTGACGGTAATCACTGAAGTTGAACGGCAATCACTGAAAGGCGGTCACTGAACGAACCATGGTCACTGGAATTGGGCGATGGTTCCACTGAACGTGGATGGAGGTTGTCACTTTCACTGAACGTGGACGGAGGTTGTCACTAAACATGGCCAGTGGTAGTCACTGGGTGAGCGGCCAACATAGTGATTGTAATACGGTCAGTGGCGGAGTCAGAGATTTTTCGAGGGGGGCATACTGAAGGCTAGGAGTTGTTATATATTTGCTCGAAATATAATAAAAATAATAAAAGCGTAATACGTCATACAAATTAGTTCATTACATACTACTTGACTTATATCTAAAATCTGGGTGGATCAATCATATGAGTTTTTATTTGTTCAAAATGTTATATAATATCTAAATGTTGGGAAAAACAAGACCTCCGGTTTTTTCCAAGATCACGAGCTCATAGACTCTTGTACACACTCATAATACAAAGACTCAATCTGACAATATCACTTTGTATTACCCTCACTTACTCTTTGTATATGAGACTACTTCACTCTACCTAACTCGATCACATATACTTCATCAAGCAATATCTTTGAGTCTTCTTTTCTCACAAGAAGGCTCTCCCTCTCCTCTCTCAAGGAGACTCACTTTCACTCACTCTAGAGCTCTTTTCAAGGTTAACATATAAACAAGAAGCGTCTCTATACTAATCTCATCAAAGCTTCTCTAGAATTTTTCATACACTACTATACATCAAGATTTTTCCAAAAAGTATCTATAAGCTTTTATAATCTTCTAGAAGGATTTAGAGAACATCACAATTCTCCAAAATGTTCTAAAGGTTTCCAAACACTTCCACACGATTTTAGTGAGTTCCGGACTTCTATAGAAAACTCAACATTATTATTCTAGAACATTCAATACTTCTTTACACACATATAGAGAATCTTGGACATCTCTGAGAATTCTAAAATACTAATGAATTTCTCCACTAAGCAGGGAATCCAACATAGTCTTGAGAATCTTTTGATCTTTTTGTTGCAAGAAATGTGACAACATATTTGTCAAACTAAATACTTTCTTGCTCACTATAACCACGAAAAATCAATCCGTGTGTCATTAAAGGTCTAAAACAATCCACACTTTCATTCAAATGAATGTGGTATGCTGCAGCCAATACTTGTATTCCTAGAGACACGTATGTTTCTTGAAAGACTTTGTCTTTTATTTTAACAGTTAATCTATTTATTTTTGAAAAAAGAAGGGGGCGCATTAAGTATATTATAACTACTAGTAGTAATTTTTTTTGCCCGAAGCGGAGGAGCTTGCCCCCTCATGCCCCTCCCCAGCTCCTCCACTGAATACGGTCCAGAATCACTTGACAAAAGCGGTGGATTTGTGCCGGCAATGATCCATGGTTGCGGCGGAAGTACTGTCGGCAACGACGGCGGCGGCAATGATGGCAGTGGTAGTGATGTCGGCGGCGGTGATACCGCCGGCAGTGATTGCTGTGGTGGTGGTTTGGTGGCTGTGAACAGTAAATTTTTGTACAAAAATAATAATAAATGTGAATACACGGCATTTAATAAAGGGTATACAAGATATGTTTAATCACTTTTTTGGAAATCTTAAAACAAGTCACATTTTTGTCTTTCTTATTTTATTTAGTAATATTAGTAAAAAGGCCCAATTTTTAATAAATTGTCTCTTTTTTTTCATGACTAATTTCTTTATTATATTTATGACATAATCCCTATTCTTACTTTAACCCTAGTGGTAAGTTTATTAAAATTATACTACGTATTTGTTGAAATATTGGAACAAACGATATAGTTATTTCAAATTTTAATAGTAAAATAAATCTAAACATTGAAAAATTTATTGCAAGATATGCCACTAGTGCACACAAAATTGACCTTTTTCATTAATATTATTAAATTATATTGAAAGGACAAAATATAGTTATTTAAAAAAAATCAAGAAAGTGATATATGGAGTATTTAGTAACTAGTTATCAGTGACTCATACTCTACAACTAACTTGTTACTACAAAATACACTATAGTGATTCCTTTTCAGTTACTAGTAAACAATGACTAGTCATATTCTTGTCCAAAAACACAAGTAGTCGTATCTTTGTCCAAAAATTCACAACCGTTTATTTTTCTCCCTCCGTCCCATTTTAAATATCTTACTTTCCTTTTTGGGTTGTTTCAAAATAAGTGTCATATTTCTATTTTGGAAAGAAATATGTGATCTACAACATTTCACTTTATTATACTCAAATCTCAACAACAACTTTTACTTTTTGAACTACTTTATTAATAATTATGTCAAACCAAAAAAATATGTTAAACCAAACTATGACACATAAAACGGGAGAGATGTAATATAATACACCCTACATCAAAATTGGCTTTTCTTGATTAATGACAATCAACTTTGAATATGAAAATTATATCAAAATGTTCCTTATTCAAAATATTTACATAAAAATATAAAATTTTTAAATTATGTATAAATATATTAATTAAAATAAGAGCCTGTTTGGTAATATTGAAATCAGTTGAATCAGTTGATTCTGTTGAAATTTATGAAATTCTGGCTGCATTGACAGTATTGGCTGAATCTGATGATTTATGGAAAAACTATTTTTAAAATGTTTGTTATTAATAAATAAAATAAAAAATTATATGAAGAAATTGTTAAATGATCATCTACAATAACTTCAATCAATACAACCAAAAAAGTAACTTCAACCTTACTTTTTTTAGTATTACACAATTGAGAGCACAAAATCAAAAGTTATGTGTTTGGTGAAAAAGATGACTGATAAGTCTGATAAACCGAAAAACAATGTCACTAAACGGGCACTAAATGTCCAAAGTTGGTTATCATTCATAAACCCGCACGGGTAGCTCAGTTGATTGAGTGGTGAGAAATTTGAATCAATGGACCAAGGTATGAATCCCCACAGCGACCGAGTGAAGGTTACAGAACCTGAAATAAGGCTAGACCTCTGGCACGCACGAGTATATGACATACTGTCACTTTGCTGATTGAGTCACCGTGACTTACTCCATCATTTATCTGGTCGGGGTGGGAGATTCCACCTTTTGGATCCATTCTTATCATTCATAAAAATGAATAAGCGGACTTTTCTGAGAACGAAGTACTACAGCCTTCAGGCTTCATGTATGCGATTATCTTACCTCGAGAAAGTGGGTGGTGTTGGGCCTATTAGAAAAGCAAAATTATTTGAGAATAATGACCAAAGTTTTGAAAAGATGTGTAAAAAAGGATGCATGATTGAGTACTTTTGTACATTCAAAGTTCAAACACGGCCAAAATAACAAGAGGATGCAACTTTCCTCTGCCCTAACAAGGAATCAAAGGCATATATCAACAATCACCACATGTTTATATCCATATGCTAAATTCACCCCAAATTAATTTACAATTTACAATATGTAGATTTTAAGATGAACGAATGATACAAATTTATTACAAAATCGGCATTCTGACTAAATAAATTTATTGTATTAATCAAGAAAAATAGATGGGGGTGTGGAGTGTGGACCTTCCTCAGGTGCTAGGCCTTCCTAGCCAACCTCAATGGGTTTAATGCACCAAACCCCCCTGTGATTTGGAAATTCGGCGCATTAGCCCCTAAATGGCTAGTGGTGGAGAACCCAACACGTTGACTTTTTGCACTGTTCACATGATCTAATTTGACTACATTTTACACTATTATTTTGTGGAAATTGTTTTTTGAAAAAAAAAAATTTCAATTCATCTCATTACAAATTTTCAAAATCTGATTTTTGATATTTTTTATTAATAGAGATTAGGATATACTTACGGTCAAATGTGTGCATTGGCAAATGTGTAAAGGTTGACTGTTGCAACTAAAAAAGAACGGAGGAAGTAAACATGTGATTGATACTGATGGGGTCGTTGAGAGATCCACTATGGGAAAGGGGATAGTGGCCGTGGGTTCGGGTACTGATGTTTTATTCTAGAGAATCATGATGAAGAAGTGCAAGTAGCTGAGCAGAAGCGTCGCACTTTGCGGCTCTCAAGAGAGCCATACACAACGATGGAAGTTGAAACCAAGGGCGGAAAAAACGGGGTGGGGGCGGACTTTGGGTCGCACTTTGGGTACTGTCCACTCTGTGGATGCGGACCCTAAACGATCGAACTCTACGGCCGTATTTACTATCCCTATTGGCATGCCAACCTATCCGAATCCAGAAACAAGATTTCGAACTCCATTTATTTTTATTTGTTTAAATTAAGCATGTATTGTTAGTTTTATGAGTATTATCTCCCACTTAAAATAACATCGTTATAGAAACTAAATACGGAGTATTACTTATATTTGAATAAATATAAGTAATATAAATTTCCGAGTAGAAGGTACTTCGTATTACATAAATTTATAATATACGTCACTATAAGTACGTACTATATATAGTTCTTGTAATATGAAATAATAACCTTTGATTTACTTGACCTTAGCTTGTTATGTATAATAAGTAAATTGGTTGAGGTTTACATAATTATTATACAGAGTATTTTCGAATTTAGTTCATGGACACACATACGCATTTAACTTAATATATGCATGGTGCGTATATGATTGTTTGAAAACCATCTTATAATATTAATACAAATTGGGATAATTACCTAACTAGGAGTAAAACATTACACAAGTGCAAAAGTAGGAGATGTATATTTAGTAGGAGTAAAAAGATAAAGATTTGACAAAATTACCCTTAATGTTAAGATTGTATATTTATTTAAAAACAAAATAACTCCGTATAACCGTACAACATGACTACTGATAAACCATTGGACGACATAACCTAGGGGAAGGCCGCCACAGCCGTCGACTAACGCCAGACGCTGCCGGACGCCGCCGGTAACCACCGGCCACCACTGGCCACCTCAAGCCGCCACTGTCAATGTCTCATCTGCCGCCGCTGCCACCATCAACCAGCTCAATTGCCGCCGCCTTGCCTCTGCCAGTCTGCCACCACTATTGCTGCCTCTATGGCAACCGCTTGTGCTGCCGCCGCCACTTCTTATAATGAGATTGGGGATTTCCGACGTGACTATCCCATCTTGCAAGTTTAATTTGCTGCTTGGTGTAGTTGCCATCTTCCTATTGCCGTAATTTGGCTAATCAGATTTTCGGTTCTCTTCTCTATACTCTCGTTTCTCTCTTATTTTTACTTTCTTCCTAAAAATCTCTTTGTTGGGTTTACAATACACATGCATGAGCTCTATTCGATCTGCCGATTGCATGTGATATTTGTAATGGTGTACTGGAGTTATAATTAAATATAGTTTTATGCTATAGCTAATAGAATATTATTAGGCATATTTGTTTCCTATTATGTATTAAACTCTTTCAATATAAATATACATGACAGGACTCCAATTGGAGTACCTTTTCCCAAAATATTCACATGGTATCAAGAGCCTAGGGCCTTTTCTTTTTTCTCTCGGCTTCTCCCTCTCCCTAAAATTTAGCGCCGCCATCTCTACGCATGGCATCCATCAACGTCGAAATTGTGCCAATCACGGTTGCTCCCTCAACCATGGAGTTCTCCTCCACTATGTACAGCGGCCGGCACGCCGGTAACCTCCGTTGCGCCTATCTCCTCTCCCGCTGTTTTCACCGATGTTTCCGGCGTCGTGATCTCCTCCACGACGCAGCCGGAGGTTCTTTCCCAACTACCCGGCCTGTCTTCTTCCCTATAGACGCCTCTCAGTCCCTACGGTCTCTTCTGTAGCCTTCCACAACAGTTTCCATGGCCGCATGAGGTTTCTCCAGTCATCTCATGTTCTGAGCCGGCGTCATCGACCTCTTATTTTGGCCCTACCTTTTCTGGCAATCCGGGCATCACTCGACCGGTTAATGATCACCTTCTGTTCGGGTCCTCCATGGCAAATCTGGCGCAAACTGTCTCTCATGGGATAACTAATGTGGGACAAATTGTCACTATCAAGTTTAAAGCTGTTGAAGATTACCTTACTTGGCGCACGCAGTTTGAGTCCTTCCTCGTATCACAAGGGCTCTTTGGTATTGTTGACGGCTCCATTCAGGTACCTCCCATGTATACGATGAATTTTAATAATCAGCAAATCATTAATACAGAATATCATCATTGGCTTCGGGTAGACAAAACAATTCGTTCTTGGTTGTTTGCTACTCTTTCTCGCGATGTATTAACTGATGTGCATGATATTAAACATTCATCTGGTATATGGGATCGTTTGCAAAAACGTTTTATGTTTGCCAGTTTACCTCGAGCAATGGAACTTAAGCGTACCTTGAATGCAATAAAAAAGAAGGAGAATCAGTCCATGGAAAATTATTTGCTGGAAATTAAGAAATTGGCTGATTCGTTAGCTACAATTAATTATCCTGTAAGTAACATAGAATTATTGCAATGCACTTTGTATGGATTGGGACCTGAGTATGCGTCAATTGTGGGAACCATCTCTCTTTTTCCTGAAA